TTTTTGATGTAGTGTTCCATGATTCATTGTTTGTGCATAACACTCAGTGCTCCACGCAGAACGTGCCCTCTTTAATACCCATCACCAGGCTAACCCATCCTCCCACCCCCCTCCCCTCTAGAACCCTCAGTTTGTTTTTCAGTCCATCATCTGTCATGGTTCGTCTCCCCCTCCGATTTCTCCTCCTTCATTCTTCCCCTCCTGCTATCTTCTTCTTCTTTTTTTTTTCTTATCTTCTTTTGTCTCTCCACCATCTCCACCGAGCCCCCGCGCGCACACACCCAGCTTGCTTCCAGATCTCTTTCCTCGCAAAGGGCACCTTCTCTAATCCTTGTTCCCAGTTCTCATTTAGTGTCACGGCTCTTGAGCACCTGGGGGAAGCCATGGGCCTCTCCTCCTTAAGAAGGCACAGATGCACCTACACACAACTGGTGGATGATTCTTGGGGACACAGGCCCCCTGAAGCCAGCCTGTCCATGGTGTCCAAGGGAAGAGCTCTTGCTCTGTAGGATTAGGGAGCTGGTTTCTTTCTTTCTTTTTCATTGAGGTGAAATTCATGTAATATAAAATTAATCATTGTAAAGAGAACAATTTGGTGGCATTTGGTACATTCACGGTGTTGTACAACCCCCACCTCTGGATAGTTCCAGAACATTTCCATCCCCCCAGATAAAACCCTGGACCCATTAGCAGCCACTCCCCATTCCCCCTTCCCCTGCCCCTGGCAGCCGCCAATCTGCTTTCTGTCTCTATGGATTTGCCTGTTCTGGACTCTTCATGTAAATGGAATCACACAATATGTGGTCTTTTGTGTCTGGTTTCTTTCACTTAGCATCATGTTTTCAAGGTTCATCCACATGAGCATTTATCAATTCTTCATTCCTTTCTATGGCTGAGTAACATTCCATGGTATGTATGGGAGCTGATCTTTTACAAACAAATTAGATTATGTCCCTTTCCTACATCTCAATCCATCCAATGGCTTCCCCTCTCCGTTACACTAGGATCTAAATTCCTTCCCCTGCTGACACTTCCTTCCATGACACAGCTTCTCACTCTGACCTCCATGGGATCCCGCTCCTCCTCAGCCACTGCATTCCGGGCACACTGGCTCAATGTCTATTCTTAAACACCACAAGCCTGTTCCTACCTCAGGGCCTTTGCACTTGCTACTCCCTTGCCTAGAATGTTCTGGAGTCAGACCTCTGGCTTCCAATTCCAGGCTCTATCTACCACTTGTTAGCTCTGTGATCTTGGGCAAATGAGTTAGCACATTTGATCCTCCAGTTTCCTCATCTGTGAAATGGAGGAGAACCTACCTTGTGTAGATTCGGTGGGCAAGGCATTAACCCTGGTGTAGAGCAAGCTTGGTGCAGTTTACTATTCATATTAATCCATCAAACACTGACTCATTGAATTTTTTTTAGAAGAAATATAAAGTGGAGACGGAAATCGAGAACTGGATCCAGAAGTATGATATGGAGATGGGTGAGAAGCAGGTATTTGTGCTGCAATCAGTTTCTCGGGTGCATTGCCCATGATCCTCTAGGAATGGTCCATAGTCTGTGCCAAGCTCTGGGCCTCCCCAGACAGCCTTCCCTGCCCCCTTCCTTAGGCCCCAGGTTTGTCTGGCCTGGGGCAGCGAAGGGAGAGATGGAAAAGGAAGGAGCCCGAAGCTGGAAGCTACTAAGTGCTTGTCGCTAGGCCCAACGATCTTGGCTCCATCTAGCGTCCACATCCCATACTGTCGGTCCCTTCCGCGCTCAGCTCCTGCCAGCCGCACAGCCGGGGCTCCCTCCCCGCAGACTCAGGATGAACTTGCTTCCCCTACCTCACTCAGTCACCCAGAAAGTTTCCACTGTGGGCCTGAGATGTGCCACGTGCTGGGACAGCGCAGTGAAGATGGTCCCCATTATCACCTGGAGGCTCTAGTGTCACCTGTCAGCTGGGTGACCTGAAGCAAGGGGCTTGACCTTTCCGAGCCTGCTTCTGCCTGGGGTCACCAGAGGCAGTAAGGAGTGTGCTGGGACCATGATGGGGATGCGGTGAGGCAGCCTTGTCACAAATGCTTGCACCCAGCACGGGATCTGGCCTGGAGGAAGTGCTGAGGGAATATGGTGGCCTGGAAAACGGGGCGCCTTCAAGCCCACCCCCCCAGCCCCACAGCTTTGTGATAACACTGGGGCCCATGGTCCCGGCTTCAGGGCCAGGAAGGTTTGGCAAGCACTGGGGATGACATCAGCCTGAGTGGTCCCAAGTCAGGGGAAGGGCAAGTCGGGGTCTTGCTCTCTCTGATCATGAGTGCTCCAGGGAGGAGGGACTTCAGAGGCCGTGCTCTTGTTTCTCTGGACCCAGTGAGGGTGGTGGGTTCCTCGTCAGCAGAGACCGAGTCTACTCAGCTGTTTGCTTCTGGCAGATGCTTGGTAAGTGAGTGGAAGGGAGAGAGGGGGATAGGTGTAAACTGCAGCAGGGGGCAATAGTTGGACATAAGGAAGAACTGTGGGACTCAGTCACCTGAGGAAGTTCCACTCTGTGTATCTTTGTGAGACACATAGCTTTAGTGACAGGAGCTGCATTTTTTTTTAAAGATTTACTTATTTATTTGAGAAAGAGAGAGAGCGTGAGTGAGGGGAGGGGCAGAGGGAGAGGGAGAGGGAGAGAGAGAATCCCAAGCAGACTCCCCGCTGAGCGCAGATCCTGACGCGGGGCTTGATCTCACGACCCTGAGATCATGACCTGAGCTGAAATCAAGAGCCGGACGCTCAACCGACTGAGCCACCCAGGCGCCCCAGAGCTTGCATGTTTATGTCCCCACTATATGCCTGTATGCCTGGCACCACATCCAGCACATTGTGTCCACCCCATCATTTAATCCTGCAGAAAGCTCCCACCCACTTCCTGGGTTTGGAATTGTCCCCATGTCTCAGAGGACAAATGAAGCCCCCTCAGGGCACAGCCAAGCTGGGATGCGAAACCCAGTCTGCCCAACCCACCGGCCTGGGTTCTTTCCTTCTTCCTGAGATGATTTTAGTCAGGTCCCACCTCAAGTGCGGATGGACCACATCACCTCTCCTGTTCTCATCCGGGCCTCGGATGCAGAAAGGCTTAGTGCAGATGGCGCTGTTGGGGTGGAAGCCCCTTTGGGATGGGGTGAGGGTGCATGCGGGGGAGGGTGGCAGGTGGCGCCCTATGCTTGGTGATCCCCACCCCCTGACCCTCATCCCAGGAAGAGTACGAGGAGCTTGACATCATCCATAAGGAGGAGAAGGTCCAGCTGGAGGAGCTGAAGCAGAAGCACAACGTACTAGTGGAGGAGTTCTCTCAGATCCAGGCCGAGCGGGAGGTCAATGCCAAGAAGAGAACAGAGGCTGAGCAGGAGATGCTGCGCATGGTGCGGGCTGCCACGCTCATCCAGGCTTTGTGGAAGGGCTACCTGGTCCGCTCCATGCTCAGGTCCAGGAAGAAGAAGCGGAGCAAGAGCAAAGGGAGGGTCAAGGAGAAGGGCAAGGGGAAGGGCAAGGGCAAGGCCAAGGCCAAGAAATGAGTCCCCCCCCGGGGGACCTGCTCCTGGCCTGTGCTACCGCATCGCTCACTTCCCAGAGAGCAGGCCAGGAGGCCACGAGGAGGGGGAGCCTTGCCATTCCTGGCTTGAACAGTTTTTCAAAGTTAAAAGCCATTTTAAACCACATCCTATAAATAAACGTCACTTTGCCAGCGCAGTTGACTGTTTGTGTCACCATACATGCCGATGCCTTTCCCATGGGGAGAGCACGCAGGCCAGGTGTCAGCACAGAGCTATTCCTTCCTTTAGCCTCAGCGGGAAGCCAGACCGCGGGCTGCAGCCTTCTTGGCCCGACTCCGGGCGTGGCTGCAGTGCACATACCAGCCACCAGGGCGGCGGGCTGTGCTCACAGCTGCCTGCAGGAGGTTGGGGGGTGGGCGCAGGGCGGGCAGGCAGAGAACTCCAGGAGGATCAGGTTTTCAGGTCAGGGGCTGTCCTAGAGAAACCCAGCCTTCTGCTTTTTTTGGAAACATCTCATCCAGATACCCCGGGGTCTGCCCGTCTTCGAGAGCCGAGCGGCAGACACTTTTAGATGGCAGACACTGCAGCTTGCCCCAGTCCCCACCACTCCCAGCTGCCTTCCAAACACACGGCCTGTGCCAATTGCCCCAGTACCATCACACTTGGGCTGTCGCCCTCTTTAGTGTACTCAGGAGGAGAGGCATTTCTGGTTCGTCTATTATAACAGGGCGAGGAGATAAAGGCAGAGGAGAGCTGGGTGTCTCTGGTGAAACCAAGGAGGAAACTAATTCTTTGTGAAATTCTAGTTTAAACATCCTACATATGTACAAAGTGTTTGTGCCAAGAGTGCGGCTGGCTGGCTTTGCTCACGGCCCACCTGACCCCAGTAAGCATCTGCATGGGTGCCCCTGGTCCTGGCCACCGCTGGTCCCTCCCAGACTGCTCCCCCCACACGTCCGCTCTCCCCCTCCTGGAGGTGGAGGTACAGAACCAATGACGTGGCTTCCAACTGGGCTCTCTAGAATCCCAGTGCTTCCTGGAGGCGCACTGGAGGGAAGTGGGGACACAAAGAGGCCAAAGCCTACCCCCCACCCAAATCCAGCAGGATCCTGGGATTCTGGGTATAACTCCATCCGAGCAGAATAAGTGACCTGACGCAGGGTGGTGCAGAGCGCCAGAGAGCAGGGCGCTCCCGGACTGCTTACGCCTCTCTCTGTCCGGAGTGCTCCCCAGATGCCATGTGTAACTTTCTGGCCTTCTTGGACTTCTCCACTTGGCAGAGTCCTCCTCGTCACTCTGTTTTTTGGGAAAATGTGGGAAATGTAGGAGGCCCATGTTCTCAAACTTCAGTTGTCAACTCACCACAGTTACGATTTCTGCCACTTCCTCATTGTATTTATCTTTGTTATTTAATTCAACTCAGGCCTATATTGGCCCTTGCCCTGAGGAAAATAAAATTAGTCAGTCATGGCTTTGATGAGCTACTGATATATTTTTAATATGTGAAAATACATGATTATTAAAAATAAAAACATGTCCACCCACACATCACCCAGATCCTCTGTTCCCCATGGTCCGTTCACTGTGCCTGGGAAAACTCCAGACTCAGCTGGAAACTCATCCTGAGCAGGAAGCCTGGCTTGAAGGAAGAAGGGACCCTCCAGGTTGGCGATCGTGCCATTTATTCACACTTGGCAACAAGACGATGCTGTGGGAGTGATGGGGGAGTGGTGGGCCCCTCCCAGGGGCACCCCTGGGTTGGCACTCACTCGGCCTGTGGCTATAGCAAGACTGGGAACAGGCATCTCAAGGGGGAGCCGTCAAATCCCCATCATGGAGTAAAAGGTAGGAAGAAACTGGTGGATGTCAGCATAAAGGGGGGCACCACCCACTCTTGCTATGTCTGCCCCCCTGAGCGCTTCTCCAATACCTCATGGTTACCTGGGAGACTCTGAAACTGGGCCCCTCACCGTGACCCCATGGGCAAACCTGATGAGAGGACCAAGAAACTCATTTCCAAGGGGGCTTTGGTTTCTGGGTGGCCCCACCTTGTTGGGGGGTGGCTGGCAGTGAAATACGAACTGAGCAAGCCCTGGGCGTCACTAGGGGGCTCTGGAAGGTCACCCCTGACAGGGAAGGCCTGGGATCCCGAGGCCCATTGGTGTGGGGGGCACTGGCAGGTGGGCGACCAGTGCTGGGGACATTCAGGCATGTAAGGGAATGGGAACGTTCCCGCCTCTGAGGGTGTGGAGAGTCTAACCCATCTATGGACAGCTTCCGGGAGTCTGCCACCACCTCGGGCTCTGTCTTCGAGGGACCAGCTGGGTGAATGGCTCGCAGCGGGGTCTCCCTGGGGCGGGGCGAGTGGCTGCCCCTAGGGGTGGCTGGGGGTGTCCAGAAGAGGGCATGGAGTTTGGCAGCATCCCCCTTTGCCATCCACGGGCCCTCCCAGCTGGTGCCCTCAGGTCGGGAGCCAAATAGCGACTCATCACAGTAAGAAGGAGTGTGGCTGATCAGTCTAGAAAAGGGAAGAGAAATGCAGTGAGCTGGGGGAATGAACAAACCCTAAAAACCTTAAGCCCCCACCCCCTGCCAGACACCTCCAGTAGCAGAGAGGGTTGCCTGTAGATCCCAAAGTCCCTGCCTCCCAGCCTGGCACCCACAGCAAGGCCACAGCCCTCTGGTGTCCCACCATCCCCATCTCCGTTGTTTTTCCCCTGCCAAGCAGCCAGTCCCCTGCATCCTGACCTCCCCCTTTCCCAGGCCTGGCCAATTTGCATATTCCATCTTCCTGGCCACACTGATTGGCTTGGGAAAGGCCGTATGACCCATCCTGTCCAATGAGCGCCTGCCTTAGGACCCTTGTTGAAACTACCATGAAAGGGTGCCTGGGTGGCTCAGTCGTTAAGCCTCTGCCTTCGGCTCAGGTCATGATCCCAGGGTCCTGGGATCGAGCC